GTCAAGACACTAAAGGGTTAAAAAAAATAATCTAACATAATGTGAGTGAAACTGTCTACTACCAGACTCCAATACAGACCAAGCCCTCCTTTACGAGTTCTAATGGTTTGCACAGAATTTGATGCGCTCATCTTTTGGCTATTTTGAAGCCTCCTTCAACTTCTTATCTTTATGAAGGCATAGAATTTGAGTTTTACCTGCTTACCTAACAGTAAGTATTTTTTTAAAAGCACATCAATAACTTTTCCTTGAATAAAATACTATGTAATTAAAGTGGTCCTCCTTAAAAACAAACCAAAAAATTAAACGCATAATTAAAAATTTCCCCAATGCACCAGAAAAAAGCACTTTTCCTGAAAGTACACCTATTAAATAAAAACAGTAAATAAATGAAGAAGGGTAGAAATTATTTAATACTTGCAAATTGTTTATGCTTATCTAACACTAATTTATGCTTTTAATACATCTCTCTTTAACAGAGCACTGTTGAAGGCAGCATGCTTTTCTGTGGCTTCCTAGTCTCACTTAACAGTGTTCTCCTCCCGCAACCCTGCAGCTCCCTCAGCCTTGCTAGTAACTTTAATAAGCATCCTTAAAAATAGAAGTTTCTGATTTCTCCTATCTAGCTGTTTTAAATACCAGCACTATCAATCAGTCACCCCAGAACCCACGAAGGATAAGGATATGTTGTCAACAAAGGAAGAAAAGAGATAAGGTCTTTGGTGCCCACCCCCTGACCTGACAAAATCCAGGGCTTGATATGGGTCTCCAGGTCAAAAATAGACTGTCTGCATCTGGAAGCAGCAAAGGACATTTCCACAGTTATCTCATTGTTAGTTGTTTTGCAAACCACATTAAGCACTTCATATAATGGCATCCGTATCAGCTGTAACTCATTTGGGAATAGCAACTCTGAATTCATGTTTGAGAAAAAGCATGTTTGTCAAGGGCCACGGGAACAACTAAGAAAAATAATCCTACCTTGAAGTCCCTTCTCTTGTGTCTGTGCATTATGCTTTCGATAGAAATAGATGTCGTCTTTACAAATGCCACCACCATCCCATTCACAGTAAGAATTAAAACCAAAACACACAGACCTTTGCTAATCACACAATAATATCACATACTGAAGGCATAAATGCTTCTAACAAAAGATCGACTAGCCACTCACAGCAGTAAGATACCCTACGTTCTCTTCCTTTTTATGGAACTAGGAAAGAAATATTATTCTAAGTAATTATAACAAACCAATATCATCAAGTTAAATGAATACACTACCTTTTCTGATCCATTATCTTTGCTTTTGAGGTTTTCCTCTTACTGACAAAAATTCAGTAATGCCCCATGTTCCTGGTGAGCACTCGCCTAAGTTAACAAGGTTCAACTGCGTGCGTTGTCCAAGCCAGTATAGCTTAAATCTCAGTCAGCCAGGAAGCCAGGCAGATAAGCTCTGGCCTATGGAAAGTTTTATCTTTTGAAATGGAACAGGGTGCTTGAAACAGAACTTAAGGCCAGGACAGTCTGTAAGTCAATGTTAGGTTATAGTTTGTAGATTAACGATCAAGTAAATGCATTGACAAGATCATCTGACAAGGTTCCCCTGGATGTTACCAATTATTAATCAGTTCTTTGATCTCTTTCAAACAGGCAGGTATGGGACCCACACTTTCTCTATCGCAGCGTTTTATAATCTCAGACAAAATTAAATAAATCAGTTTCTGAGATATGCAATTTAATTAATAAAAAGGTGGTATGCTTTTTAGCTGAGACAAGCAGATTACTTTGGAAAACAGCAGAACAAAGCTTCTTCTATTTCAAGGCTGTCTTGCATAAGAAACGGGGTTTTGGGGTTTTTTTTAAGGAAAATCTTTGTTTTTATTTTAAAATAGTATATTCTAAACTCTATAAACTGAGTACTGATAGATTTTTTTCAAGATTATACAATAACATAGTTTTCTATAATGTTTTTTAAATTCAGGATCAAAACAAAGTTTTAAAAATGCCTTCCAAAGTTGTAATAGTTAAGGAATTCTGCATCATGTCTACATTGTATTGTTGCATAAAGATATTTTCATTGTAAGAAGTACTGAAGGATGATTTTTTAAATTGTACAAGAAAAAAAAACTTCCACTTGCATTTTACTTGGAATTTTTACCAGAAGAAAATTCTACCAATAGCCTTAATATTTAACAGAAAGCTTTAGAAAATAATATTTGACTTTAAAAACCTTCAGGTATAGTGAGACTCTAATGTATTGAACAGCTGCAGAGAGAACAAGAATTTCATTAAATCAAGGGGGAAAATCATCCGTATGTAGTAACTGAAGGGTTTATTTGGCACGTATTATTTGGTAATACTTAACTAGTTGCATTTATCAAAGTATCAGTGTATAGAACAGGATGAAAATCCCTACTAAATGAGATTAAATTAGTATTATTCCATTAAATTTGTTCCTGAGTATCCATCCCCTCTCATTTAAAAGATTTGTATTCACAAATTTAAATCAATGAGTTATTTCCAAATCTGATTTAAAAAAATAAAAATAAAAAAAATCACTAAATGTAAAAAAGTTTTCAGGCTTTTTCCTGTATGTGCTGAGAAAAATAATTCAAAATAGCACCACGGAGAATCAGACATGCCTAAAGAGGTTTCACATTATATATGTTTAGTTTAGAAGTGATAAATAATTTGACCTGCCAGTCTCCAATCTGTGATTCCAACCTCAAAGGGACTTCCTTTGCCAGAAAAATAAACACCTGCTTTTGGAAGAGGGTTTTTTCAATGACACACAATCCTTTTAATGGGATATAGATGAAAACATATATTTTCCTTCTGCTCTACGTATATATACAAGAATGTGAAATAATTTAAGATAAGAATAAGCCAGTATCTCAGAAAGTAATAGCTTCTTGAGCTAATGATTTAAATTTCTGTGCTCAACACATCTAAAGAATAAGCACAAAAATGGGACATTTTTGCAATCACCTTCAAGAGCACAAATACACTGTTATGGTAAGCAAGGATGAGCTATAATATGAACAAATGTGAGACACTTTAATATATTTAAACAGAAAATATTTAATTACAGTAGAATTGTCTGATGTGCCACAGTATGTTATTGTTGACTGATGGATAAACATGAGTAATTATCCATTTTGCTTGTCCCACCACTCCTCCCCAACCTACTCAATAGAGTCCCTGTAAAGAACAGGACACGGATAGTTATCAGTTTGATCTTATCTGTTATCAATGGGGAAAAAATGAGTAGTACAGTTTCATATCTTGTTCTATGATTTCTGCAAAAAATATTCTTTTTTCTGTAAGCAGAAAAAAGACTGAACAGAACATGTCACATGACTACTTCACAAAAACCTCCACCTTTAAACAGAAAAATGGCAAGCATAACATGTACAACCTGATGTTTAAAGACTGAAATAAGTGATTTATGGAGAAGTGGTTTATGGTTTGCTCTGTAGCTTTCTATAAAAGTTATGGTTTGACACAACAGATTTAGATAAACAGCTCCTAGGAGATGACAAAAATGGTACCACAATACTGATTGACAAAAATTGCCTAATTGGGATTAATTAGAAATTGGGGCTTGAGGTGGGAAGAAAAATGTAATTAAGAATTTTAAGGGAATATTTGTAACATTAAAAAAAAAATTCTTACTTGTATCTGAATAATTTGTTAGGCTATTGCTGCTAAAGTGATCTTGTACCACTCCTGCAACTGATACGTTACATGAAAGTATTTTAACCATATTATGCATAAATAATTTATTTCTAAACAGACAGCTTTTACATTTACAGATTCTTTTTTTTTTCTCTTAAAATTAGAAGGTGACAGTAAATTCACAAAAAACATAAGGGGAGTAAAATCTTTTAAAAACACTATTTAATCAACTGGCTTTCCTACTGGCAGTACCACTTTAAACTGTGATGGAATTTTAAAAGCAGTCCCAACACATCAAAATGAAACCTTAACAAATTTCTCAAGTTTCTATGACTAATAGTGTATCACAGAGTGGATAGTTAGGGCTAAATGCAATCCTGACCTTTTGCGTTTATGGCTACGAGACCTGCAGTCTGTGCGCTGAGCCAACACAAAATCTGCGCTTACAGCAGTGCTCTGCATACCAAAAATCTTTAGAGGCAGGATTTCGACTCGTTTTATAGCCTCTTTAAAATAGAGGAAAGGACTCCCTACTTCTCCCCAGGAAGGTAAGGTCTTTTACAGTCACTCCTTCATCAAAAAAGTAAAATTTTTTTGGAAAAGACACTCTACTGTGCCAGAAAACTGCTGTTAATAGAGCATTTTTAGGCCTTTGATAAACATAAAAGTCTTCTTTTTCTATCCAGTCTGAAAATCTCCGTCTTCTCTCAGACAAAGAAATGCTGAATTTCCATTCCCACTGCCTTAAAACAAGTCAGTGACCTGCATTTCTGAGCAAAAATCTTTCCAGGTGTCAGATCTGCTGTGATTCTCCAAGGCATTTCTTGCAAACAAGGAAAAGCAATGGATATTTCTTCTTTGTGCTTTATACACAAGGTTTAGCTGTTGAGGAAGAAGCAGCCAATTCTTACACAAAATAGTTAAAACCAAAGAAGTTTTGATACAGGAGAAACTAGGGATCTGGCAGATCAGGACAGGACAGGTCATCAGAAGGATTTTCTGTGGGAGGAAAGCTGAAGGAAAAATTGCTGAGGAGTAGAGGAGGAAAAGGATAAGGGCTTGGAAGAAGGGCATGAAAATGCCATCCTTTCAGGACTCTTTCCCCTCCTCTGTCCCCTCTCCCAGCCCTTATTTCACTGGTGAGCCCATTTCCACACACTCTTTGCAAAAGACACAGAGAAAGAAGGAAAGGCACTGTGTAAGAGAGCATCACAGCCCTTCCCCTGGACTCGGGGGAATATTTACTAAAAAAAAAAATAAAATATAATTAGCTCTCTGCTACTCTCCAATTTCCAAAAGCCACTGTCATTAATTTTGTTTCACAGGACAAGCTGTAGAAATCAGAACAGCAAAGTGCATTAATCACCAGCAATACTGCAGTAAGCAAAGACAGCTTGAGTCAATAAACGAGCCCAGACTGAATGACCATGAACAACAAATGCTTCTTCCAAGCAGCCAAACTGAAGATCATGAGGAAACTGTAAAATGAGACATGTGCATCATGTAAATCTCTCCTCTCTCCCTCCTCCCCTAAGAGGGAATGTTTTGACACTGAACTGTGGAATTCTCCAGAGACATGATAAAGGAAAAATAACAACAGCTACCAGCCAAGCAATGCCATGCATGACAAAAAACAGATGAGGAAGTCACTGGGTAAAACAACACAAGCAAACATGGCACAACCATCAAAACTACAACTGTGGTGGAAACAGTAGTACTCAGCTCCTGCTGCAACCCTTCTTGTCTAACCGCATACAGACAGGGTAGCAAGTGCCATGCCAGAGTAGATCAACCAGCCCAGAGATCTGTCCTACCAATGGCAACCTACGTGCAGCTGCTCCATGGACAATGAGATACTAAACACACTTCACACGACACACAAGATAGTAAACCCACTTCAGGAAATTTTCTCCTTTCCAGAAGCTAGTTAACACCATGTATTTATGTCTCTCTTGTTATTCTTCCCTCCATCCCATTTTTCTGGGCTTAATCAAAGGGTAGGATAGCCTAAAGAAGTGCTTACAAAACCCACTCTGTAGGATAACTGCCAGTAGATGGAAAACTCCTACTCCAGCCCTAATGTCCCTTGAAGACTTCTTGGATGTGTGTTCAAGTGAGAAACCCTACACAGCTGGATGTCAGGATGCACAGGGAGGTTTCATTCCCCCTGTGCTTCTCAAATCCTGCCTCTGCACAGCAAGACTGCACCTGTCCCAACGCAATAGCCCTGGCGCCTTCAATTAATGCTGAGAAAATCCTGAGCTAAGTGCCTACTTAAATTTGATGGGTTTGCCATTCAAATCATGGTCTGTCAGCCTAATAAAAGCACCAGTTAGTAAACAACATTAGTGAACAAACACCAGCAGAATTATGAGCAACTGCAAGCTGCAATTAATTTGACTTTAGCCACCATGCCCACACCACCAGTGATGCTAGTGCTGTAGTTTTATTTCAGATCAGTGAAAACAACAAATAAACATTTCCATCACCTCTCCGAAGAAGAGGAATCAAAATGACCCAGTGCTGCTAGAGAAACGTACAGTGGAACAGATGTAAACTACTTCACAGCCCTGAGGAAAATGGAATTCCTTCACTGAAGTGTAGCTCGAGCTAAACTAATCCGAGGTGCATATCTAGTTCTTGCAGAGCTTTGAGTAGTCATCAATCTTCCTGCATTCACCAAGTGATTTGTTAATCTGCAGTTTTCATAGCATAATAAAGAACATTTGGATTAACCAGCTATTGTCATAACAGCCTGATGAGCTTCTTAAAGTCTCTTGGTAACTTACTGGGTATGACAGAGTATACAGTGCAGTGAAACAAACTGGGCAGTATGGATTACATCGTGTTCTGCCATCTGGAAAACATTACAAGACAATCACTAATACTGTGAAGCCTCCTGAATCTGTTCTTCATTTATAATGTAACCCTTTGAACTCCAGAAAGAGCATCTGAAGAGTGATTTGTAAAATACGTTACTGAAATCCTAAGGAGGATCTTGTTTTAAATAAAAACCATATCTAAGTACAAATTTGAATTTCAGTTTACAACCTTAGCCAATTATATACCAATGCAAATCTCCACTGATGAACTGTCTTGCCGAATCCATTCTTGTGGTGGATTAGTTATTCCAGAGAAACCACACTGGAATACAGCTCTCCAGAATCAGCAAGGTGATTTAAGATGCCCCAGTGACTGGTTAGCAACTTCTATTAGTTATGCAGTGAGATTCAAAAGTGTGATGGCATTTGACAGCAACACAAAAATTTAAGGTCACTGCCCCAAATAAACTCAGTGAGTGGGTGGGAGAGGCTGGCAGCGGACAGAGCCCCTGCAGTCACAGAGTATATAGGTTATTCCTGTGCTATATGTCATTCCTGTGCTGGTAGGGGCAGAAAAAACTGCTCATGATCAGCTGCTGAAGAGAAATGCTGCCCAAAGAATGCACTGGAGAACAACTCAGCAGACAAACATTGTGTTTTGTATAGTCACAGTTGCCTTTAGTATCTCCCGCTTTTCCCATCAGGAATGCCCAGCATCCCATGTTATTTCTGGCCCATGGTGCGTGTGCTGCAGGACTCACTCCCGCTGTAAGAGCAGTCAGACATGCTCCTTGTCAGCAAGGGACCAGCACCACCTCTGACATGTGAAGCAAAGTTTATACAACAGCACTTAGATCCATTTCTTTGATTTTTTTGCTCCATGGCTGAAAGCCAACAAGGGTCAACACCACGCAGCAGTTTAGTTTCACAGTGAATCCCCTGTACCGATAGCCCTGGGCTGACATACCCCACTGTGCTCCCTGAGATACTTTTTTTCCCAGGAAGACAAAGCCAAGCCCTTGACAGGACAACCTGCCAAGAGCTCAGCAAATGAAACCTCTCAACTGGCTTTCCCTGGCCACTCCCATTTTACTTTCAAGACTTCAGTACGCCTAAGGAGATATGCAACAGGGTTATTATCCACAGCTCAGGAAAACATATTTATGTATGTGTATATATACATAAATTTGCATACATACACACAGAGTCTCTATACAAAGTCATGCTCATACAACATTCTCAACTCTTCCACAATCCCCAACTCTCCAAACAATCAGGTCTGGCTAGCATCATCACAGATTTATTACAAATGTGGTAAAAACTATAGGAGTGCCTTATAGAAGTTGCTGATAAAGTTAGATCATGTCACAGGCCATGCAATAATCTGAAATCTCAACCGATAGAAAAGCCAAAGCACTGGGGGATTTTTGGAACAGTTCAGGTCTGTTTGTTTTTAAAATCATGCCCTGAAAACATAAACACAGTTTCCATCATATCAATGCTTTGACCCAGACTGCCTCAGAAATGTGGTAAGAAACTGAAGGTCCTTTTGGACAATAGCTTATCATAGACATCATCATCCTAACAGCATTGTTACACAATTCCCTGGTTAAAGGAGCACAGGTGTTTCTGGAGGATACAACAGCTGTTTGAGAGACCACAATGGAGTATTTATATGTTGGGAAAGGTTAGCGATATTAACAGCTAAAATTGTGAATTATCTCTAAAATAGGAGTTCCTTAAATAAACTGTATAGAGGTGCACAAACGCACATACACATTCCAAAAAGCACATGTACACAAAAATACTGATATATTATGTACATCTTTATTACTAACGTTGAGATAGATACTTTCTATTCCACCTGTGTGATATGCTACACGAGACAGTTATTCCCTCTGATTTTGTTATCAGATCACATAACAGGAACCTTTGTATTATTTTTGTATGTGTTAGTGAACACCACTTTATGACCTGGCTCTTAGTTTTATTATCCACTTAAATACCTATCATGTACTATTCTTGGAAACAAAACCAAGAATACTTCAAATTCTTTGAATAAAGTCTATTAAAACTACTTAAAGCCACGATATGAAGAAAACGTAAGAATTTTTATAGTCTAGCTTTAAAACCATATGTTTAGCTCAGCTAATAAATCTGTTCATGTAAACTCTGCAGCATTCAAATAAATGTTTAAATGCTCAAGCTGCTAAAAATCAGATAGAGTTTCTAGTTCTCCAGTTATTTAATCCAAGCTATTGAAAAGGACATTATAGAATTTAAAGTGTCTGCTTTAAAATGAGACAAAACTGGTAAGATATTTTAAAACAGGCATATTTAAACAAAATAGTCCTTTAGCCACCTTGAAAAAATCCACTTTAAGATTAGCTAGAAGTATAATTAACAGTTCTACTACATTTGCATCATAGCCATAAAATTCTCCTTTTCATTTCAGTACTCTTCAGTCAGTTTTAAAGGTAACTGCTGTGCTGATCTCCAGCTTACAATGAACAGAGAAGTGCTAGTAAATCAAAAGCTGTCCAAACCTCCTACTGTGGATTAATGTATACATAATGGCTGCTTGCCCATGACTGGAAAAACCTTCTGATAGTTTATTGCTGTCAGATGCTTCATTTCCAATGGCCAAAACACAATGTAAGATTTCAGAGGACAAATTCTTCAGGCTCCATATCAAGCACAGAAGTACGTGAACACCATTAAAACCCACTAATTTTTATAAGATGCTTTTGTCAAGCATGTGTTTGACTAATTCACAATAACTATGTTCATTTACAAAAGCAAATATAGAGAAACAATTGGTTTTGAAAGCTAAACAGCAGTAGAAGATGCAGACAAAGATGATGGCATCAGAAGTTCTGCAGGTACTGTTAGTGTAGCATTTCTAATATTGGACTAAGTCACCAGCTGGAGAAAAGAAAATCTATTAATATAATTAGCCTTATAAAAAACCCAATTGTCTAGGTGAACATCCTGTCCATATTTAAGTCTTAAAATACAACATTTGATTTCTGAAAGAATAAGGGGTCTGTGTATTTCTTTACGGGATGTAAAATGCTCACATAAACCTCTGTGCTGAAAAATTTTAAATCTGAAGTAAAAAATGGGCAACAGGACAGAACAGCATGAACAGAGGGGCAGGGGCCAGCTGAAGCAGGAGTATTTACAGAAGAGATGGTTTGTCAGGGGTTTTGTGGAGAGGGCAGGGAGGGGGTGGAAGTTTGGAACAAATTAATGGGCAAACTGTTCCAAGCACCAAGATTGGCATGGGAAGATGCGTCCAGAAGACTGGGGCTGCAGGTTTGTGTTACTTAACATCACTGTCTAGCTGTCTAACTAAACTGCCACTAAACACCATGAATAGCAACATGTTTCTCACCAGCAATACAAATGCGCTGTCATGTAACACCCAAGCCTATGAAATCTCTGGTATTTTTGGTAAGCAGGCGAAGGAGGTATGTGGAAGTATACCAGTCAGATCAACAGCACGTGGGATTTGCCCAGGGGAGATGTAACCACATCTACTGCCATCCTCAGGTACCAGCCACCCCAAAGACAGTTTGCAGCAGGCGGTTTATTCATTTAGCTGTCAAAGGCAGGACTACATACTGACTCCCATATTCACGCTCCAGGACTACGTGAACGCTGAAGGCAATGACTTTCAAAACTTACCACCTCACCCAGCTTCAGATACTTGTCAAAACACAAATGACCCAGCACGGTGGAGCCTGATCACTGCTTGACCAGACACAGGAAACTGCCGGGAAGACTCTCCCAAAATCTCCGACACCACAGCTGCTCCCACTGACAGAAGCAAAGGAACCAGGAAAACACTGAGAAGGAAAGAGCATGTATCTCCATTTTGTACTATGTTTAGGCTCAATAGCCAGTCCCGAGAGAGGATGCAAAGAAACACTGTGTTCTCTCAGGAGTGTCCTTTTCAGGAGGGGTCAGCTGAGTAGAAGTCCCACAGCCTGGGCTTCAAACAGCTGATAGTCAAAGAAACGGCGGGACAGATGTCACAGAGGACGGAGTCAGACAGCCGCCCTTTTCCCTTCGCACCTCTGGGTGCAATGCCAGGTTACACTCAGTACCGTGTTAACGGCCGGTGTGTTACAGCACTGCGCCGGGCGATGATGGTTTGAAGGAGGAAAGCACACCCTCTGCAGGCTGAAAATAATAAGAGACTGGAAAACATTATTTCTCTATGCAAGCAAAGGGAACTCATTTTAACTTCAAAGGTGGTTGACGGGAATTTTTCACAGATGAACCGAAATGCAGGAAGAACAACTCAGGATATCCAAATCAGCAGAAAAACGGGACAAATCTATGGTTTATAAACTATTCCATGGCACCTCCTGTGCTGGGGCCACATCACTCCTTCCACCCAAACAAAAGAAAAAGCATATAAACAAAATAAAACAGGAATAAGATTGCGCAAAACAAACTATTTGAATAAATGAAAGTATAACAAAATATATTCAGTTATTACATCATTTTCTATTATTAAGTTCAAATTAAAATTATTCGTTTGAATTCTTCTTACTGATGTTCTTTTCTTAAAGTGGACTTCATGATATTTTCCAAAGAAAAATATGGAACAGATATACAAAAACATCATCTACTTGCTAATTTTTTAACAGACCAAAATAGATTTTAAGCACTTACCGCGAGGCCTCCATCACTGTACATAACTAAAGAACTACAAATTAAGCATAAAACTAATTAAACAAACATCGAATAGCTAAAGTGTATCCATAGAAAAGATGAATATAATTATAGCTCAGCAATTTGAGAAGAGAATATTTTGAATAAGTAGGTAATTAAGTTAAGAGAGGCCTAAAGAAAGATTTCACACTCACATTCATATGCTGAAGCAGTTTAAAAATAGAGAGCAAGAACTGCCTGACTTCACCTTTTAATTTTAGCTGGGTGATGAGCTGGTCCCAAAGACAGAAAGGCACAGCAGGATTTTTTTCTCAGCAAAGTGCCCTTCGTATTTTTATGCGAAGGAAATGCAGTATGTTCTATTAATATCCTGCCATAGCCCTAGATAAGTCTAGGCACCCTTTCAATCAGGAAAAAGTTCTGGTTTGTTACTTCAAATCACTCGTATCCTTAAAGACATACACACAAGTTGCAAAACCTCCCAACTGCCCCAGCCACTTCACAGGTAAATAACATCCATACAGGAAAGACCCTTACTTAGCTTTCCCATCAGTCACCTCTTGCAATTACTAAAGCTGTAAGTATGACACTTCTTCTCTCATGAGGAGGGAAAAGGAAACAACTGAGTTTGCACCTTGAGATAAGTTTAACTTTATTTTCCAGCTATTAATTAAAATGAGAATGAAGTGTTGATACCAGCTAGACGAAGACTACATTGCAGAAATGAGGAAAAAACAATAAAACAAAAAATGACAGCATAATGGGTAGGCTTTCCCAAAGAAGCTGGGGAGAAGTACATAAGCTTTCCCCCACATAAAGACAGATTTATTCTTCTTCTGGGTATGGCTCCCTCACACACTTCAGCTTCCTGACATATCTCTGATCCCAAGCACAAGCTTCCCCATAGCAGAGGTCTTGGCCCATCCAACACTGTTTCAGTCTGGCAAATTCTCACAGTGGGCCAGGGATGAAGCCCTTCCTGCTCAGTAGCATCACATGGAGAACTTATCTGTCCCCTTCAGGGAATGGTGGAAATGGATGATAACCCGCAATGCGGATTATTCTTCCAACATAACCTTCTCAAAGTGTCAGCTATCCAAGTGAAGGTCAGAAGGCAAGGATAATTTTGCTTGATATATGGTAATGGTTAAAACCTAGGCAGGAGTCTTAGTTAAATCTGCGGTGAAAACAAGCCTGCTGAACTCACCCCTCATCTTCCACAGTTGCATTCCCTTGCTTGTATTTTAGAGCAACAGTCAGCATTAAGACTCTAGATTAATCTGTCCCCTCTTATATTTAGCCTTTAATTACAGATTCATCTTAGGCTCCACCTGTAGACTTCTTACACGTGTAAATGCTGGTCACTGACCCACTCCAGCTACTTCTGTGAATAACCATTTGCAAATATTATTTGCCAAGGAGATGAAATGCGAGTTAGTGGAAGTTTGCATTAGCTTCCCGCTGATCAGCAATCACTAGGTGAGGCTGCCCTGCCATTCTTATCTATAGCCCACTACCTCAGTGAACTGTTTGCCCAAAAGCACAGGAGGTCCATACTGTCCTCTCAGTGACCTGCTTCCCAACCATTCCATTCTTGATAAAAGAAAGTAGAGCACAGCGCTTATGTGAACCAAGGAAGACATATGTAGTTCGCTTACACCCATATAACTGATACCTTTTGGTTTTCATCTTAACACCTTTCTTCATTATTTTTTTTCCCCACAATCCTACCCCAATCCTAATTCATGTTAGAAGTTCCCTATTAGTCTGGAAACTTTCTCCCATAGAGACAAAGGGTATCATCTTCTTCCAGCTGAAACATGCTCGACATTTTGTTTGTACACACATAATTAACTCCTTCACTCTTATCACTGCTAGTATTTCTAGTTTAAGTGTCAAATACCAAAACTGACCCCAGACATCAATGGCACTCTATTCCCACCACAGGAATGACATCTTCCACTTGATTTCTTGCATCAAATGAAGTTAAAGCACTTGAAACTAAGTAAGGATTGAAGAGATGACCAATTCTGTTGCTTTTACTGAAGATCCCTCTATTTTAATCAGAGATGCCTTCTTGCAAGAAGGTTGTCAGACAATATTTTTACCCTCTCCAGCTTAAGTTCAACACAAAGTTTGTAGGGCAAGATCATCAGTCACTGTATCACTATAGTTACTTACTCTATCCTTACCCTAACAAGACCCTAACCCACAAAGTTTCTGATCGTCCCAAATTAAAATTTTAACAGGAAGGAGTTTTTGTTTGAAGGAACTTTTAATATGAATGAAATTTCTGTTTTTCTTGCTCTAAAAGAATTATTTGAAAATTCAACTAAAAGACCACCACCAATTCTTCTGCCCTTCCTTTTCATAAATATTTCAGACAATGCTTCTCTCTCACCCTTCTGTGTAAAGAAATAATTCATGGGTTATAGGTATGTGAGGCTGGTTTTATGTAGCAGAGGATAAAGAGATTCAATTTATCCTTCCCTCTTCTATAAAGGTTTACCATGCAGACACACCTCTTTCTTCCACAGAGTCCCCTTGTCCCTTCAGCAAGGTAAGACACCAGACTCCACCAAGTGGCAAGTACATCCTTGGCAAAGCAGTTCAGATGTCAGAAGGAAACGTACACAATACTCATTAATTGCTCAAACAAGCAGCCAGGTCTGAGTGTGCTTCCAGTGCCCATCCAGCAAGATCCAAACCCAGGGGAACAATGGGATCCTCTCTGGCTTTATTACGCTGTCCAGCGGGGCCCTAGTATATAAGAAGCATTCTCCAGAGCTTATAAAAAATGCAGTATAGTTGCTATAGCACTGGTTTTACTGCATGTGTACAGAGCAGTGAGCCTAAAGGGGATGTGGTCTCGAAGTCAGGCTTCTGGGTGCCCCAGCAAGACCATTGCCACCAAACCCTAGCACCTGAAAGAAATGCCTGCTGCTCTCACTGCTGACACCCATGCAGTTCTGCTCTTAGACTAGCGGTCACTCCTAAAAGCTGGTCACTCTGCCAGTTTTGCTACAGATAAATAAGTACAGTTACCTCGGGGAATTTAAATTAAGAGCTGCCTCCCTGTCTCACAGAATTATATACAACACTGTCATGTTTAAGCTGGAAGAAGCACTTTTTCTGCCTCCCTTGACGATTCTATTACTTCTTAAAAGCAGGGGCTGGAGGTGAGGGTGAAAAATCATGTACTCAAGTCTCAAATTGCTGAAATGTCTAATCCCAGATATGGGGTCCATTTGTCACAAGTCACATCCTTGGACAGTCTCCGTCTTGTCCACTGGGACTCAACTAGCAACCCCTCCTCCCACGCTGTGCTATCTGTACCAACTGCTAACTTGGAGGAAAAAGTAGATAGAGAGCTGGTTCGCTTCTAGTGAGGTCCCCCTG